CTTCAGGAACCTGTGTTTCAACGTGATATGGCCAAGTAGAAACAACTTACCTATTTTGTAAGTCTATATTTATAACATCTGGTTTTTACCTCATGAAAAACAGTCCTCCAAGGTGTGTGAGGCTTACGGCCGTATCACGTTGAAACCGGTTAGCGTATGATTACCGAAGTTAAGCAAGGTCGGGCCTAGTCATTATTAATGGGTGACCTCTTGGGAATACCAGCAGCTGAACGGCTCGGAATTGGAAATCGAAGAAACGAGTTCGCATTCCATTCGTTATATTCATTTACGTGCACTTACCCCGAGGAAATGTATATGAATATTCTTTTTCTCCCCAACTATGGGTTAATTAGTAGAACTTGTATAATTAAAAATCATTATTATCTTCCCAAAATTCTTATAATCTGAAAATATTTTCTGACTTTAAATAACCTGGAAATGGTTGATAAACCGTAAAAACAAATCAATCAATCTGTCTATGCTCACTCACTCCGCTTCCTATGTCTATCTCCCTTTCTCTTCCCCCTTTCTGTTTATGTGCCATGTCCTTTCAGGACGTAAGCGATCATGGCTCTCCACATCCCTCTATCCCTTGCAGCTCTCAGCAAGGTCCTTCCCTCTGCTTCCTCCCCCAGACTATGTTCTCTCATCCACCTGCGTCAGGTACGTCACGCGCTGCTTTCCCTTGTCACCCTTTCCCACTATTTGATCCGTGAGTATCAAATTCTACAGGCCCTCCCTCATCATTATGTGTCACAGAAACTCCAGCTGCCTCTTTCTAATGTTAAGTATAAGCCTTCCCTTTGTCCGTAACCTATCTAAGACCTTATCTTTGCTCACATGCTCGGTCCATGATATTCTTTTCTGCCGGTATAGGCTCTTGATTATTCGGTTATCCCTCCCGAATATATCAACGTTGCTGAGCAGTTTCATCAGATCCTTGTGGCCTACTTTGTCGAAGGCTTTTGCGTGGGTCTATGAAATATAGGTACATGTCCTTCTGCATCTTTATCGCTCTTTCTGATAACCTTCTGAGCATGTCCTATCTCTGGCCTGATTCTGCTACGCGCTTTATTCAACAGAATACGGATGATGAGTCTTGTCATGTGGTTCATCAAGCTTATTGTTTGGTGGAGTTTGCATTCGTTTGCGCCTGGTTTCTTAGGCATAGCTATGAAGATAGATCTACTGAGGTCTTCCGGTATATCCCCGCTGTTGTAGATTTCTTTTGTTATTTCGGTGATCATGTCTATGCCAAAGTCATCTAAGGCTGTCCTCGTTTCCGCTACAATTCCGTCTGGCCCAGTTGCCTTGTTTCTGTTCAATTTGGCCAGTTCAGGTTTTACTTGGGTTTTCAAAATTCCGTGTCCTTCGGTAGTTCAGTGTATTGCTGGTTGATCTTTTTCGTCGTGGAAGTGTTCTCTAATATACTCGTTCCAGCGTTGAAGAATATTTTCCTTCTCTAATATGAGTGTTCCATCCCTTGATTTTAGGCAGCCTGTTGGTGAGCATGTCTTCTGTTAGTTATTTTATTTGTTTGTGCACGTCTCTTTTGTTAGTAGTACTCAAACTTTCAATTTCTGCACATTTTTCGTTTAGCCATCCTTCTTTAGCTTGCCTGCATTTGGTCTTTATTTGATTGTATAATTTTCTGTACTCCGTCTCGTATCTTGGCAGGTTTTTTTTTTTATCTCCCTCTTTTCTTTCTTCTTTTTTTTTCCCTTTTAATATTAAAACTTATTCCTGTCTCACTTTTTACTTCTTTTTTTTCTGCTTTTCTTTTATGTAACTTCTTTTTCTTCTTCCCCTTTACCCGTGTCTGAATGAATTAAACCTCTATTTCTCAATGTAATTTTGGTCTGAATGATGGCGTATTAAACCATGAAATAAATTTATTACCACTTTATGGATATTTAAAGATTCCTTATTCCTTATCATTATATATATATATATATATATATATATATATATATATATATATATATAAATCGACCTGGACAATTCTTATTCCAACCGGCCCTTTTTATTAAATATTCCCATGAAATGCTTTGTCCTAGAATGTTCCCAGCATAAATTAAAGGGATAAGCAGAACTTTCCCGATTATTTAATAAAAGGGGGATATTTGGAATAAAGGATGTCCTTTAATGTATAAGAAGGGATTGGAAAACATAACCCTCACGGGGCATATTTAAGGCAAAAGAGATAGGGAAGGGAGTGAGCCATTTACCTGGCTGGCTTGTGTGAATGAATCGCGAAACGGAGTGCGAGAGCCTTAACAAAGGGAGGAAATAGGAAGTTGTGGAGAGACATGATCATCTATTGAAGAATTATCTCTACCTCTCGCCAACACGTTGGTGCCATTGTTATGATCAAATAATTCAATTTTCGTCTCGGCTGACAAGAATAACAAAAACATTTAGGCTTCTTCAGGAAGTCTCTCACAAATTTCAAACGAGCATTTAAGTGTTTCTTATTCAATAATTGTGTCCATCGAGGACAGGAAGCCTTGAAGGCATTTCTATTCAGAATTGGTGTAATTGTTGATCGTTAAGTATACACTCTTGCCCTGTTCAATTACACTTGTTTTCATCTTAAGATTTTTATTTAATACTTTCAATGGTATCCGTTCGTTTCACTCTGGAAATATCTTCTTCCTGACGCGTTCAATCTTCTTTAACGAACCAGTCTTGCGATAATTTAAAAGCTGTTGATTTTAAGACATGTAATGTTTATCGATTTATATCCATCTCACGCAACATGAACATCACTTATCTTTTTATCTTCTTTTTTTTACGTCAACTATGCTCGTGTGCCATTACCAATATGCTGCAGATAAGAGATTTACCAAGTAGGAGACGATTGCAAGAATACTGCGCCATGCAAGAAATTCCAATGTTCATAACTTTAACAGAGATGAAGTAACTTTTGTTTTTCGAAACATCCTTATAATATTTTCTTATCAGTGATTTTCAAGGCAGTGTTTTTTTATTATCAATTTCACCCCAAGGAAGGCAGTGAAACCACTAAGACACAAGGGGTTTCTGGTGTGGAAGAATTAGAATTAGTTACATTTTATGGGGAAGATAACAGTTGATGCTAGATTTGAACTTGTTAAGATTGTAGTGGAAGCATCCTCTTGGGAGTCATTTCCACAAAGCTGCTCGAGTGGAATTTACAACTCGCTAATGGAATATGAAGGGAATGAAGATGGTTCGCTACAATAGGCGTGGCATAGTGGGTCTTAGTCAAAGAGATTAGAACCGGTCAAATTAAGATATGTAGTTCGTTTGAACACTTTCCATAGAAATATCAACAGAATAGCGAGAGACTTTCGTTTGTCGGAAAGGGATCGCAGAGTAAAAAATGATTAGTCACTCACAAGGATGCGAAATTCGCTTTTCGAGACTGAAAAGTGAGGACTGTGCAGCTCCTGTCATTATATGCCGGGAGTAATCCTCCATTTTCGGTCTGATTTGTCTCTTGTAACGGTAAAGGAGAGCAGGAGGAATCTGGTACTAACTGGAGAGTTACAGGGAACCGACCAGTTTTACAGCATCTTTAGCGATGGATCGTATGTAAGAGTTCCACTCGGGGTCTGGATTAAGTTTAAGTCCCAATACTCGTTCAAAGCATTAAATCTCTCCGAGGGAACACACGTTGATCGTGGTGAAAAATCTGGGTTCGATTGGTGATGTAATAAGTTTAGAGAAAATCAGGTTTAAATAATATATATATATATATATATATATATATATATATATATATATATATATATATATATATATTTGAAAAAAAAAACAGACTACTTTTAAGGTTCCTCCGTGTGAAAAATGAAAAGAAACTTACATTTACAAGTGTAAGTTTTTTTAAAAACTCTGGATCATCAGACTTACTTCAAAAGTTGAAATGAAAAGAAACTTACACCTATAAGTGTAAGTTTCTTTTCATTTTTCATTTCAACTTTTGGAAGTAAAGTCTGATGACCAGAGCCCTTTAAAAGGGTTGTGGTGAAATAACTTATTACATGGAACCTTAATGTGGTCTGTTTTTATTCAAACATATTTACTCTGAAGTTACATTGAGCTCTCTGGATATCATCCTCTTTGGGTCTACCCATACGGATTACCTAGTTTTGCTATAAATAAATATATATATATATATATATATATATATATATATATATATATGCATGCATATATATATGTGTGTGTAATTTCTCTATATATTATTTATATATTATATATGCGCTGTACTTATTGGGAAGCGCTCAATATCGGTGTTAGAGCTAACATACGTAGTTGATATTGATGTGGCACAAGGTCTAAAGTCTGGATGCCCCATACTTTCCGCCCTTCTGCCACATCTAAGCTACGCTTGGAAAATCATATATATATATATATATATATATATATATATATATATATTGTATGTGTGTTCTTTTGATATTCATACTCTCAGGTATCAGATCTCATGTGTTCACCAAGGAACCAATTAGGATGGAAACACATTATAGTCTGACTCAAAATTGAATGTCACTTGATAAGCTGGAGTTTATGGGAAATAAGAGAGTCCATCCAATTGATTTATTTGATATTTTAATCATCCATAAGTATACTTCCATATTTTTCGTTTTACTTTTGCATGCCATAAGTAGAAATCATGCCTTAGGGAAACAAATGAGAAAAACAACGGAAATAAGCGGATGGTTTGTTTGATATGAAGATAACAGCTGTATGATTGGATTGGATTTTGTTGTTTGCCAGTGATTGTGTCTCACACAGAATGAAAATAATGAGGAATAGAAAAGTCTTGATGTTCTCAAATCAGGCATGGAAGAGACAGAAGCGTTTCGCATTTTGAAACAAAGGGTGGTAAAAATTAAAAAAAAATCATGAGAAGAAATTAGAAATGATTTGAAGTAAGAAAAAAGAAAAAATACCTTAAATAAGGAAAGGCGGGAAAAGAGTTTAAAATAAAAACGAAGGAAGAAAAAAAAAACATGGCGGATTTCGGAAGATAGTGAGAAGCAAAAATCAAAAATGGAAGACGATGACAGGTGGGCGGCAAAATAGATAACGAAGCGAGAGGGACCATTATGGAAATAAAAAAATGATGGGGGCAAGGCTGATACGCAAGAAGTAGTAGGAAGAAAAGGAAGTGGGTGAAAGGAATATAGTTGGTGAGAATTAAGTAGACAGTGGAAGAAGAAAGGAAACAATGAAAAAGTATATGTAAAATCAGAAGGAACAGGTTGAGGTAGATTAGAGAAAGAATAGACATAAAGAAATCTACACACGAGAAGAGAGAAAAGGCAAAGGAAAATAAGAATCTGTTTGAAGAGATCATAAGAGTGAAAGAAAGAATGAAGCATAATGAGGAATAGAAAGACAGAAAGGAAAAAAAAATCAGTGCTAAAATGCCGCGAAAAAATTGTTCTGCAAGCCATCGGCTTTGGCCAAATTTTCACAATTCGTGGAACTACCTGTTTGTTCGTTCGAAAATATGTGATCATCTTTTTTTGCGATGTTGAATTCAGGGAATTCAAGGAACCAGCGATTTTTCTATGTTACGAATAACGAATAAATAAATGCGGAAAACAAAAGTACTATTTAAAAAAAAAAATTATTTAGAGAGAAAAAAAAATGGAATTGCGGTCAGCTTCCCCGCCACAAAAACCAACAAGTAATCCATTCATAAGTTTTAATAAATCTCCAAAATTCCAAGATTAGTGACACTGTCAATGTGGACAGACTAAAGATAGTCCTAGGTATGACGATAAATTACATCTGGCATCAAGACCTCTGATCGGGAGATTGGAGGTTTGGAGGAACGTGAAACCACGTCTTAATTGCTGTTGTTCAGACATCCAATATGAATGAACCCCAAAACAAAACACCAGGAAATTATAAAAATACATTTTATAGTAAAAATACCAGCAATAGATTTTATATAAGAAATGACCAACAATCGCTATTTATAGTAAAATGATCAACAATACATTTTTAAAGCAAAATGACCAGCAATACATTTTATTAGTAGTTGAAAGCATACAATTGCATTTATATTTAGCTGAAGCCATAAAATTGTGCTCAAAATATTTACATTTTAGCATTAAATAACCAATGGAGGTTGGTATGCCGTAAAACAATCAAGCAAACAACATGAAACTACTCTTTCATGACATTAGTCCATATAATATCATACAATTTCTTAAAGAAATCAAACTGTATTCTAAAATACAACTTCAACAAAACTACAACATAAAACATGCATATCACTATCTCTTGTAATCATGACCACACAAACATATATATGCACAAAAGCTGGGCATCATCTACCATGTATTCATTTATGAAAGCAGAATAACATCATATTTTTATTACTTCAAAGCTCCCAGGAAAATTAAATTTCGGCATTAAATGACCCATAAGGAATTGATATGCAGTTAAACAAAAAACAATCAATTCTACCAAAGAGAAGAAGTAAAGTATTTCCTTGAAATAAAAATGTGAAATTTCTCATAATAATAGGGAAAGGAAAAAAAAATCATATCTTGAGGTTTGCTAACATCGATGGTGAAAACCGAATCTTCTGTTCGTGATAGGACTTTAATTACAGTATATCATTATAATTGTTTTATTTAATAAATTAGGTCAGGTTATTGGTAGAGAAAGTGAGATTGGCAATCTAAGTTCAAATTCCGGTTTAGTCTCATGCATTCATTTTCGCAAAAATACCCTTGAGAAAAGTATGAATTGATCTTTTCCCCTTCCCGTGGTTATGGGTTAAATAGCAAATTAGACTATGGTCTCTAGCCTATATAGCAGAAAGACTATCATGAACCCAAAATTGTAGGGAGGATAACAAGCCTACTGCACTATTTTTCCTAAGAAGTCATTGCAATTCAGAGATAATAAAAAATATCTTTTGAGAGTCATGATTGCCTACGTCATGGTATCACAGATTTATACGGGAGATATCAAATTTTCGAAGCCATCTTTCTTCATTATGTAACTTAGAAATTTCAACTGTCTCTTTCTGACGTTAAGTATAAGTATCCTTTTGGCTTCCATTTTCTCTAAAACTTTCCGTTTAGTCCATGGCATTCCCATAATTTTCAGCCCATGGGATTCCCAGCATCTTTCTGTAGAAGCACATTTATGTTGCTTCAAATGTCTTCTTCCTGTGTGAGGAGATAGTTCGGCATTTACTGTCGTTTAGGAGAACTGATATTAACAGTTCAGTACACTTTTCTTTGTTTCTAACGAAACTTTTGTCTCTTAATAATTTGCTTAGGTTTTGGATGGTATCTTCTTGAACAAAAACAGAACATATATGAACTTCTGGCAGTTTATCAACAATTTTGATCTCAATATATATCTAATTCGAAAATGAGGTAGCTACAAAAAAATAAAATAAATAAACACACAGAACTTCTCGTTGAAATTTAACAAAATTTGTTCGGATAAATTCCAGGTGTGTGCGCGCGCACACACACACGTACGTGTATATATATATATATATATATATATATATATATATATATATATATATATATATATATCATATATAAATACCAGTTCTCGTACGATCACCGAAGTTAAGCAACGTTGAGCCTGCTCAGTACCTAGATAGGTGGGTACTATGCGGGTGGTACAATGGATTCGCAATCGTAATTTAGAGAGGCGAGTTCCAATTCCAGTCGAGGTCGTCATATTCACTTACGCGCAAATACCCTTGGGAAAGGTATGAATCCACCTCTTCTCCCCATCAGCAATGGGTTAATTAGTATGACTTGCATCAGTAAATCATTATCACCCCCTCACCCCCTCCCCAACAAAAAAGAAATCAGAAAATCTAAAAATATTTTCTGGATTTAATTAACCTATAAATGGTTAAGTCGTCAAAAAATCTCTCCTCCCTCTCTCTCTCTCTCTATATATATATATATATATATTAAGATAACAAAAATAGCTATGTACGTACATGAGTACATATAGCCATTTTAACATTCAAGGTATTTACATATTTCCAAATATTCTTTTCAAACATTCTTTGGTGCTTTTTTCTTTTAAACATTTTGCTTTTACATCCCATCCAATTCTGTTCCGTGTAAATCGATGAAGTCGTTGATAATTGAATTACTGAAAGTTTGTATCGAATTAATGGAACAGAGCGAAGAGTACATCGATTCTATGGAAATCATAAATCAATCACTTTCATCCATTTGGGAAATAAGCAGAAGTTTGATTTATCGAATTTCACTTTGCTATTTTCTGAATTTATTTTATTCTTGTTTGTCACTTTTTTCTTTTTAGTCCAAAACAAAATCGATTTGTCCGTGCTGTAGAATTTTTAAAGAAAATAGTGTCGAACTATACATATGAATATTCTACGTTTTATACTCTTGTCTAATTGGTCCAAGGAAAGTTATTTCTGATTTGGGCGTCTCATTTTAAAGTATTGATTAGCGGGCTGTTTTGGACGGGTTATTAATGTTGAATACAGAGCTCTTTGCGCTGTATATTTGTAGTCTTGTCTCAAAACTAAGCTTAGTAAATAACGTCTTGTATAATTGGTGCTAGAATTGATCCAGGTTGGTTGATTTTACGGCTTGACAACCCTTTTTGGGATATCAAATAGTTGGTCTTGTGCAAAGCCTAACCTGATACGTGTATTTTAGTTGAATATTGATCTGAAGATTTTGCTGCATGTTCTTCACTCAATTTGAATAACGGAGAAGTGTTGGATTAAGTGCGGTGACAATGAAGGAGATTATATTTAAAATGAATGCCTATTATATATTTTTATCGTTAAACCTTGGACTTGTTGATATACCTACTTAAATATACGCTCTGTTTATCCATGTGTATTAGATGTGTACATAAGAACTGTTCAAAAATTAACTTTAACAAACCACATGGTAATACATTTCACACACACACACATATATATATATATATATATATATATGTAAAAATTATGTGATAGGCGATTCGCTACCTTGGTTTCAACGTTTCAGTGTCTTCAGGCGATTTTAGTTAATTGACTTCCCAACTCTTAATTTTTTTTTTAATAACAAATTATGAATGCTATATTTTTTAAGACGAATAAGCACACGGTGTGAGGTTTGGTAGGAGGTGAGGAGGAGGGTGAGGAGGCAAAGCAAGTGTATTAGAAATGTTTCAGTGGGGGATTTAAATGAAGTATACCTATTATCTTTTCATACCATATATTCATCTCATATATATATATATATATATATATATATGTATATAATATTCAAATATTGATAACAATTATAACAAAAACGTTATAAACCGCCACATAAATGTAATCACGTTTCGACACTGGGTGTGCCTCATCAGGCGGTGTTACTCAGCTGGAGAAAAACGATCATTTTATGGTTTGTATTTTACGGTTTATAACATGTTTTTGTCATAATTGATGATAATAATAATAATAATAATAATTATTATTATTATTTTTAAGCTCTACTCTGTATTGAGCACTTTTTAAAAATATAATGTCTGGACATTGATACTAACCTACCTTACGCTTATAGCAGAGAATGCTGATCAACCTTCCCAAAGATGAGAAATGTGGTCCTACAGAAGGATGCTGAGGATACCATGGACCGAATATGTGAGCAACAACGAAGTTCTAGAGGAAATGAAAACAAAAAAAATTATATTTAACATCAGGAAGAGACAGCTGAAGTTTCTAGGGAACATAATGAGCAAAGAGGGCTTGGAAAATCTGATACGCACAGGACGGAATGAAGTCAAGAGAGACAGAGGAAAACAACGCATAACATACATAGTGAGCTTGAGTAAATGGATGGCGAAATAGAGTTTGGGAGAAATAACAAAAAAGAATTTAAGAGGTAGAAATGACAGGAACTTAAGGGATACGGCACAAGAAGAAAAAGACTAATTCTAGGTTTATATAAATCCGGCATTAATTATAGGTTTCTAGTTAAAACACATTAATAGCCACCATCCTTCAAAAACGGGACGGTGAGCATGAATGAACTGAATTTTTGTTCAAAGCTTAAGCCATCCTGGGTATGATGATAAACTACATCCACGTCCTGGGTAAGACGATAAACTACGTCCAAAAACAAGACCTCTGATCAGGAGGTTTTGAGGAGTGTGGAAATACCTCTTAATTGCTGGTGTTCTCAGGTCCAGGGGTGGTAGCACTTGTTAGGGTTCCAGCTATGGGTAAATAGTTAACCTCAAACTGGAGTCAAGACACTATGAAAGTGTAAAAATAGGTTTTAATACCAGAAATACTTTGTAAAAATTATTATCAGCTATACATGTTTGAGAAAAAATATTACCAGCTATTCATTTTTGAAAAAAAAATTACTAGCTATACATTAAAAAAAATTGACCAGCTATACATAAAAAAAAAAAAAAAATAATACCAGCAATACATTTT